CTTCTAAAGGCCTTTAGGACCCTCAAAAAATCTAAGAAAACTCTGAAAACATTGTTGTAACTCAAATTTGTCATTACCAAATTAAGTTCTCTAAGCTACCCAATCTCATTTCTACCTCTTTTACCACTTATGCCACTGGTTTTACTGCATCAACAAGTTCTAATTGACTCAACAATAGAGCCTAAACCAACTCCTACTCCACAGAACTGCTCCTTTAAAGACTCAATACTTAAAACCCCCCTTAATAGACTTGAAATCACTCCAACAAGTCCTCTCAAACTCTTTTTTGCATTACAAACCAGATTTTTCTTGTTTAACCACTCTCACAAGTCCTAATGGACTTCAAAACAATCCCTAAACTTCTCTTTTACCTAACCAACTGCTTACTCAAAAACTCACTTACCAAAACCCCTAATTTTCACTCAAAAACAAGTAGGATTTGAACTCATTTTATCTCCCTTCCTTAACCTCCTTTATTTGACCATTTAATGATACTAACAAATCACAAAACACTCAAAGACAAATACTAGACTGCAAATTTTACATTGTTCTCATTATTCCAAAATTGACATTACCTACAACATCCATTGAAGGTACAATCTGGACTGTAATTTCATATATCCACAACCATCATTATTAATACAATTTTATCTTAACAACATATTAAATTCCTCATGCAATAACCCACAACAACAATCATTCAATCAAAATTATCAAAACACATCCTAAATTTACAATCACTCAACACTTTTCCCCAATTTAACACCACTTGTCTTTATATAAAACACATACACACAAATTAACTGATTTAATGCATTTTACTACACTTATGAAAAGCAAATTAGCTTCCCTTACCTTGCAATAAAGTGTCCAACTCAAAGAAACATTCCATCGATTGCTTGAAACTCAAGGAATCTCTAAACGAACCTATGAGACACCAAATTGGAAACGAATAGAATCTTTAGAACTCTAGATAAATCATGAATGACTAGGAGAATCATGATTACACATGCAACAGTACAAGATTTTTCTAAAAACAGATTAGGAACAAGAGAGGAAAAAAGAGTCAAAACTTACTTTCTCTATTCTTGAAATTGAGTGACTAGATTTATAGACATTGACGTCGTGATCGTCTGGACACCTCCTGATTGTCAAACGGATAACTTAGGAACAAGAACACTTAGAGAGAAGGTAGAGAACTCTAGAAAATTGGTTTATAGAGAGATAATACGTTTTAAAATAATGAAACTCGTTTATAACAAAACTATTTATAACTAAACCATTTAATATTAAAATAACCGAGACTTACTATTTTTAAACTATCATCACTTCTAAAATATACCATTTTTTGGATTTTACATATTAAGTACTTAAAATATTTATATTTTTTAATTCAATAGTGGTTAACTGTTATTTTACTGTATTATTGTCACATATTATTTTATAATTTTATAAAATGATAATTAATAATATACAATAACAAACTGAAACATTATATTAAAATAAAAATATAAATCCTTAATTTTGATATGCAAACTTATACACGATACATTATTCATATTTTTATTTCAAATACAAAGTTTTGAACTTTTAAATATTGTTATTGTTTTCAAAATTAACCTGATGTAATATTTTCTTATTGAAAAAACTTAATTAATAATGGCTTAAAATTTCTATTATTTTTTAAAATCTGTTAACTTAAAATCTAAAAGTTTAAATTATTTATTTTATAAATTTTAAAAATCTTTCAATTAGTTATTTATGTTGAGTTGATGAAAATAATACATTTTGAAAAGTCTCACATCACTTAGGATGAGCAAATAAGTGAGTGTTAGTGACTGTATAATGAATTTAAAGTTCATTATTTTAGTTGCCTCAAATAAAAAACACTCTAACTTGTTTTTAACTTTTCTTAAATTATTATAGTATAGTGTTGTGTTAAATTCTTTCTTTAGAGAGTGTAGATGTATTTATGGTTAAAAGGCATGGAAGAAATATTGTATATGTTGTAAAAAATATCACATATTGTTATTCTCTAGTTGTTATTAAACAAGGTTTTGATTTTTTTCGATTTTAAAGTTTTCACGTTATATTCTTATGTTGATTGTTTTGATCTTATTTCTCCATTTGTATGGTGATTCTTACAAGTAAAAACGATAATGTTATTTATGATGACACATTAGAGTGAGTATCAAGAGCATATGACTCGATAGAATATTATTAGTATATTATGTGGTTACAACTTAGTATGATATTCCACATTACAAAAGATGAATTCCTTATTGTTGGAGAGTCATCATTGGTTACTGAATTTGCAATGAAATTTGTAGGTATTGTCAAATATGACATAGAAATTTGATGGAAGAAACACTATTGGTACTTTGTTGGCTTGGTGAATTTGTAGTTAGGTTTGTGGAAGTCAACCAAGGCGCAAGGACGATGAGTCATGTTAGATATGCAGTGGAGTGAGCATTTTCTGGTGAGTGTGCTCCTAGATATGTAGAGAAGATTGGATCGGTGCTCACATGGCTCGATAAGTGAGGTTTGATGTAGATGTGTTTGATGAGTCATGTGTGATTTGGGTTTCCATGGTTGTCATGGTCTGCATGTTGTAACAATTTCTAGGATGCAATTAAAGGTTTGATGAGTGTGTTCAGATCAATAGCTGGGTTGATCTTCTAATGCTCCTGTGTGTTTTTTGGTGGTTGCGAGGAGGATAAATCATGGATCTGTAGAGATTTTTAGCTTGTGATCTAGAGAGGAGCTCATGCACTCTTTGATGGAGATTAACGGTGGAAGTGTTAATCTAGCTTATTGTGCGCAAAAGCTCTTCCTATATGATATGCATGGAACTCAAATGGTGTTGGTGATAACTCTAGTGAGTGTCAAAAGATGGGGTTGCAATAACATGCAATCTGCTACTTCGATGATGCACATAATGGACAATTGTGTTTGGTGAGGCTAGTAGTGAGTAGAGCTTGATTTACGTGGGTGGAGCTTGAGATCTCTAGTGACGGTGTTTCGTGTGGCTGACATGATGTAGTTTTGTGTCGTCAACAAATGTGTGACGGTGTTGCAACATTTTCTGGTTCAGTTTATGTTGGGTGGAGCAAACTTTTCCCTTCTTCAATGCTGGTATGTGCAATGACGACACGATTCAAATACTCTAGTGACTATGTGGAGGTTTGACGATGGTTTGTGGTGAAGACATTAATGTATTGCATTTCTGCTTGAGGAAAAAAGAAGATGATGTGGTAACTTCTGGTTGGTTAAATATCAGAGTGAGGGATTATGAGATGTGACATCCCCTAGTTGATTAAATTTGACAATGGAGGAATGCGACACGTGGTAGCTCAGTTGAGCAGGTTGTGAGTGCTAGGATGAGTCTTTTCTAATTGTAATTATACACATACATTGACTAATATTTATGCAGGGTGTGTGTAATTATACAATGTGACATTGGTTAACATTGATGTATGGTGTATGATGTTTATGCATGAACATTAGTTAACATTAATGCAAGGTGCAATGATAATACACGGGTATTGATTATCTTTGATATGTGTGCAACGAAATGAAATTATTAGGATGATTTAATTCAAAGTGAACATACTTTTATGATGGAATATGATTGTTGGTATAGACAATGAAGATGTATTTATTTTAATCATGGTGGAGATGATTGAGTTGATGAAAATAATACATCTTAAAAAGTTTCACATCATCTAGGATGAGCAAAAGAGCGACTCTTAGTGACTATATAATGGACTTTGAGTTTATGATTTTAGTAGCTCTAAGTCAAATACCCTTTAAGCTTATATTTAACTTTTCTTATACTTTTGTATTAGAATACTGTGAGATTTGAGTTAATTTATTGTTTTAAAAAATGTGGGTGTAGATTAAAGTTCATGAAAAAAAGTTATTTATATATTTTCTTGTTATTATCTTATTATAATTAAACAATACTTATACTTGTGTGTTTTATTTTTGATTTTGAAGTTTATGTATTATATTTTTGCAATGATTGTTTCGATTTTATTTATCCATAAATAGAATGATTCTCGAAAGTAAAGATTATTATTTTTTATGAGAACGTATTTTTTTTCCATAATTTAAAATGAGTTTTCTTTTCTTTTTGTATGAAGTAAAGATCCTCTGTTAACTAAAAGCATTTTTAGTCTATATTTGTAAGCATAAAAGTATTTGGAATATTCAATTTTTTTATTTAGTCAAGTTTTGGTTATTTGTAATCTATATACATGAAGTTAATTTTTATTACAAACCATCTCCGAATAATTTGCGTTATTTTCAACTATTTCTTGATAACATTTTTTTACATACTTTATATGTCATTTATAATTAAAAAATATTAATATTTGACCCAACAGGAAATAATATGTTGCAATAAAAACGTTAGTGAATTGGACCAAAAAATATGAAAATATTTTTTATCACTATTTTAATATAAAATGTAATAATGCAATAAAAATGCGAGTCAGTACATAAGACATGTTTTGACTAGTATTGATAAAAACATGAGTTTTTAAACTGATCAAATTTAAATGATAAACCCTTTTGATGTCTCATTTCCAATTTCAAATAAAATAAAAAACCCTAATTTAACTAACGTTAATGCACCCAATGACTCTCAAATGGGTGTAGCTGACTCTTTTCTAACATATTTTTTTCAAATATTTTCTAACTTTTTATTTTTAAAATGTTTTCTAACACTTTCTTTATAAATTGAAAATGCATAAATTACAGGAATTAAATAAAGCCTAAATTAACTGCGGGTTCGTGACTCGAACAAAGTCATCTTCATCAATTAAATTAATACTCAAGTAACATATTTTTTTCTCAGGGTGAGGATTGAGGAACATTTTATTTTTAAATTTTGCCAAAAGCAGTTTAAATTTACGAATCTGTCCCTAATTAATTATCATTTTTAATTGTCTGGAATTTGTAATTTTAATCCATTTTCATATTTTTCTTTCTCAAAGATTTGAGACAGAAACGTTAAAATTGTAAAATCGTTGCAAAAGCTGAAGAAAGAAAAGGTGCGGTGGTGTCGAGTTGTTTTGTTTCCTCTGAAAATTGACAGAGCTCGCGCACACACACACAACGCAAATACTCGCTTCGTATCAGATCCGAATCCCTCTTCGTTTTGCCGATTCGGATCTCCGATTGATCTCCTTCTCCGATTCCTCCTCGTCGCAATTGGATCCGATTTGAGCTTCTTGCCGTACATAATCACCGTCAATCATGAACCCGTTCTCGTCAGGAACGCGTTTGAGGTAAGCAATTAAATCCTTCTCTTCTTCGCTTGGTCGCTTGGATTGGATCAACGCCTAGTGCACGCACGCACACGCTAACACGCACGACCACATTCTCACATCATGTACAATATGTTTGTTCTTCTTTGTGCTGGTTTTGTAGTTGAGTAGGGCTTTGCGTTTGGAAGAATTTTAAATTATCTCCGCATTTTTATTTTATTGGAATTTACTGCTCTTTTAGTTGCATGGTCGCGATTTTGTGTTTTTCTTTCAGCTGAAATTAGTGATATACATGTTAACAATTCATTTGGTGACTGGTTTTGTTGTGCTTAGCTGGTCAAGGTTTTCTCTCAGTCTCTAAATGGGATGGTGATATTGAACTCCTGCTTCTAGCCCCGAACTTGAACGAACACTGTACATCAGAGTTTCATTCGTGTAATTATAGAAGCGTTGGAACAATTCTTGAACGATATGTATTCTGTATATTGTTAGGATAAAGTCTTAAGCGTAGACATATGTAGTTGCAACATTGTAAGTGACTTAGTTATAGATCTTTATTAGTATATTTGTCTCCCTCATCCACAGAATGTCACTGATGCTGTCCCTATTAAGTACTGTGACCTACCAGTTTGATAATGGATTTGAATCTGATGTGAGTAGTCATGAGATTGTTCATGCTGATTTTATTTTATATATTTCATTATTGTGAAGCAATGAATTTGTAAATTAGCATCCTATGGCTTTAGTTACAATATGTGGCCGGTCTCGAGTCCTCCCATGAATTTAAAGCATGATTTTTACACACTCGACTGGTCTGGAAGGGGCCAATATGCTGTGCCGTAAGCAATATTGTATTGATTTGTTAATAGTTGCAGTATCTCTTGTTCTCTGCTTCCGCACTAACTTTGAGCATTGAGATAAAGCATTGTGTAGAAGAATTGGAATTACAACTATACAATGCTGTCACTTACATAAGCAAGGTCTAGTTTTCTTTGTGATCTTGCAGTTACGCATGTGTTTTCTTTTGTCTATGTGATTGACATTTTTTATTTCAAAATTCCTCTGATTTAAACGGTCAAATACACTTAATTTTTCCAGGTTTCTTGCTAGTTGGAAAGGGGAGACGTGTTTAATTTCTAGTTTCTGTTTGACTTTAATTTTGATTAATATCATTTACACATTGGGTTCATATTTTTCAATATCCCAACTTGTAGGGACATGATCCGGGCAATTCGTGCTTGCAAGACTGCAGCAGAAGAACGGGCTGTTGTAAGAAAAGAGTGCGCTGCCATTCGTGCAGCAATAAATGAAAATGATACTGATTATCGGCATCGAAATCTGGCTAAGCTAATGTTCATCCACATGCTTGGTTACCCCACACATTTTGGTCAAATGGAATGCCTCAAGTTGATAGCATCTCCTGGATTTCCGGAGAAGAGAATAGGTTATCTTGGCCTCATGTTGCTTCTGGATGAAAGACAAGAAGTTCTCATGTTGGTCACCAATTCTTTGAAACAGTATCCAGTTGTTAGTCAAAGTTGTGATTTATTTTATATATATTTCCTGATTTTTGTTGCACTTTACAAATGTGCTATTTTTTTCTTCTACCTACTGAAACAAAATGAGGGAAGGGAAGAATATTAATGATTGGTCATAGATGATGAGCCTTAACTGAATCACAGAGATCTTAATCATACAAATCAGTATATAGTCGGACTTGCCCTTTGTGCTTTAGGAAACATTTGTTCAGCGGAAATGGCACGTGATCTTGCACCAGAGGTTGAGAGATTATTGCAATTTCGAGATCCAAATATTAGGAAGAAGGTAATTTTCAGTGTACATCACATATTGTATCAGTGTTTTTTTCCATATATTAGGGGAGAAAATGTCGTGAATGGTTTTAGGTTTCATAGTGACAGTAACATACTTTCCTTTCCATATGATGATTAGTAGTGTAACTTTATTGACTATTCTGCAAGAGGTTGCTTATTTGTTAGAGTTCTTTCTTTCTTTTTGTAGTTTTTTTTAATAAAGGTTTGAGTTATATATTGTAAAGAATTCTCTTACATGCATTTATAAATTATTTTCAATCATCCGATGATTATGCCTTTGTTCTATAAATTTTTTAGTTGTATTTGGCAAAAGGAAGTAATTCTGATGCACAAATATGTGAGGATGCTTTGTGTTTGATGCCCATTCGAAGAATCTAGAATTTCATCATGTAGTATTAATAATAAAAAATAATAATCCTTATGTTAGGGTGGTCTGTTCAGCGTGCTACATCTTTTTGACATCACTGCAAATTTTGCAATGTATAATCTTTCTCATTGATTACCAGTAAAATGCTGTTTGCTACTAGTACTTTTTTCTTTCATTTTCATTATTTTGAATGAAAGTTCTATCAAATTTCCTCCTACGTACTTAGCATGCAACAATTGATTCCATAGTCTTGTCTATCACATGTACTAGTAATCTCCCTATTCTCATTTTTCTAAATATTTATAACCTTGCAATGTAATTTAATATTTGAGTTATTAATAAAACCTTTCCCATTTAACTGCTTGAATGATGTCTATTGATTAATTATTCAAAAAAACTCGTTCACAGAAGTTAACCGTGCTCACTGTTATATAGGCAGCATTATGCTCTATAAGGATCTTAAAGAAAGTTCCAGACTTGGCAGAAAATTTTATCAATCCTGCTACTGCCTTACTTAGGGAGAAGCATCATGGGGTTTTGATCACTGGGGTTCAGCTTTGTACAGATCTGTGTAAAATTAGCGCTGAAGCTCTTGAAAATATTAGGAAGGTAGTGTTTCATCTTTTAAACTATTTTGTCTTTCACATGGTGTAGTTACCTATAACTCACTTTGCATATTGAAGACTTAAGTTAAACTTATCTACTATAGCCTTAGAATTACAAATATTTTGTGCTGCTAGTCAAATTATCTCTATATATTTTCTTCTTGGTATTTGGGAGTTAATAGCATCCATGAATTCTTGACGATGATATAACCTAAAGGAAATTTAATGAAGTTATAATCTAGAATATGGGATTTGTTGGGTAGTTAATTTGAAATTTCTTTTCAATATCGGAAAGGCTTTTTTTGTGAGCTAGTATTATGGTGTTTGTAAACTCAACTGTTTCAAAAAATAACATACTGTTTCTAAGGTCACAGCACCATGTGTTAGTTTCTGCAAGCTAGTTTATTGGGTATAAATAATAGTATATACTTATTTGAACTGGAAAGGCATATTAACAAGTTTCATAGGTGTACCCTAATGCTCAAAGTTAACCTCTGATTGCATTTTAATATGAAGAGCTCCTGCAAATAGAGTCATGATTTGAACAGCTTTTATTGTAACGAATCATTTTGTGAATAAATTATTACAGAAATGCACAGATGGTTTGGTCAGAACTCTTAAGGATCTAGCAAATAGTCCATATTCACCAGAGTATGATATTGCTGGTATCACAGACCCATTTCTCCACATCAGATTGCTTAAACTTTTGCGGGTGTTGGGTGAAGGTGATGCTGATGCTAGTGACAGCATGAATGACATACTTGCCCAGGTCAGCTGTGTGTTTATGGTGAATTTTATGATATTATGTTATTATAGAGCTCATTAATAATCTGCGACGCTTGGTTATCTGACCATGCCTCTATCATTTCTCACATCTTAAGTCTATTTTGTTGGACTAAGTTATTATTCCTAAATCCACTTTTTAGTATGTTATTAGAGCTTATCTTAGATTCATTAAAAGGGTCACTCATCATGTTATCCGTGTACCATGCCCAATAATGTTGGAGATGAGGGAATGTATCAGGAAAAACGCAAGTGTATATCAACTAGAGATAATACTAAAATATAGCATACAAGTAGGGATAGTCCTTATGTCATAAGCTGGTTTTATAGGGTTGAGTGATGTCTAAACTCACTAGTACATAATCCTATGACAACACATTTTGGGGAAAGGAGTTAATGATACTAAACTTCTGCTCCAGCTAATGCATTAAAGGGCGTTATCAAACATAGATTGTGGTTTTGGATGTTGGTGTGTTTGGGTGGCACTGGTCAGAGGAAGATGCTTTTCTATTGGTTTATGGTAATGTATGGTTGGTTAGTTTGGTTTTGCATTAATGTAAGATCACTTTAGAAAATGTGCTTAAAGTTGAAGATTTGTATTAAAATCTTTTTTATTTTTTTCTTGTGTGCATGTGAATGTATGAAAGTATTTGTAAGGGGAAGAGGTGTCTTCCATTGTAAATAGTTGTTGAAATAGAAGCCCATTGAGCATCTGGATTTTCTTCTTCAAATTTCACTGTATATTTCTATCTAATTCTTTGAAGAATTACAAATTAGGCAAAAGAGAAAGGAGGGAGTTCTATAATTGTATTCTATATAAAATTTTTGCCAAGGAACTAGTATTTATGATACACTATGTGATTTAGTTACTGTTAGAATTCTTCAGTTAACTGGCGAAGCTTAGTTTTTTAATCAATTGTGTTAACCACATGTTATAGTAGTCAAGATTTGGCCATTTGCTGTTTGCCAAATCAATGTTTTAGGGGTAGATGAGTTTTAATATACTATTTCTTATTGTTGGTGGCCATCTCTTCTGAAATTTTAGGTTGATAATTTTACACGTGCTGCCTGTTTTAGGTGGCTACGAAGACCGAGTCAAATAAAGTTGCAGGGAATGCCATTTTATATGAATGTGTTCAAACAATAATGAGCATTGAAGATAATGGCGGCTTACGTGTACTAGCCATTAATATCCTGGGAAGATTCTTGTCAAACCGTGACAACAATATCAGGTTTATTTCTCGTCATTGTTTCTCTTTTGTAACTGACTAGAAATTTCAATCAAAACCTTCTAACGGTGGTAGATTGAGTGTTGAAATTGTAAGCTTCACTATAATTGCTAAAAGAAACATAAAATTTAGCACAGTAAGAGGTATACATAAAATGTGATTGATGGATGGTGCTTTTTGGGTTGATCTACAGTAAACTGGACTCAGTAAGTCATTTGAGCAATCAAATTATTGCCTTACCAATTTAAAACATTTAAAAAAAATAAGGAATCACCAGTTTGTTTAAGATAAAAAGTGATTTTTGTATGGAATAGTTTAGTGATTGTTCTAGAGGTTTTTAAAGAAGTAGTAATTAACAGGTTTGTTCACAATCAGAAAATCACCAATTTTTAAGTAATTAATTTTACAAGAAGCTATTCTAAAATGTAATTTCATTTGTGATGGGACAAAATCCGATTGTACCATGTGTAAAAGGATCCTAACCATTTGTAAGTATTTCCAGTTTCTTATTATTTTTAAATGCCGCACAAACATGTAACAAAGAAAGGGATTTTTTTTTTTTAAAACAGAATCGATTCTTTGATAAAAAAATGTTTCCAAACAAATGAACTCTAAAAAAGAATAGGACCGGGGACCCCAATTATATTGACAACATTTACGTGATTATAACTCTTAGAAAGTAAATTAAGTCTAACTTAACCATACAAAACCAACTTGTAAGGTGGGGATAAAATTTAAGTAGTTGATGTCTCTAGTTACTCATTTGGCTATATGCTAAAATTTATTTAGTTTGAACTTAGTTTGGTCAAAATCTTGTTTGTAATTTTTATGTTGCTTACAAAAGTATATGCTATGCTGTGGCTTAATTTGTTCTTAGGCTGAATTGTTCTTTGGCTGTTGACAGAAAAAGGCGCTTATAACTTCTATATTACGATAAAATAAATCATGTGCCCATTCAATTTCTTTAATTCTTTATAAAGGTTATAATTAATATTGCATCTAGTGTTCTTCAAGCTCTATTTTCATTCCATCCTTCTGTTTTTGTTTTTCTTTTAAATTTAATTATTGAAGTGAATCTTACTCTTCTACCTTCTTCGTTTAGATATGTGGCATTAAACATGCTAATGAAGGCTGTAACAGCTGATGGTCAGGCAGTACAGAGGCACCGTGCAACAATTTTAGAGTGTGTGAAGGTATTAAATTTGTCTTCTTCCTTAGTGATAAGAAAAGAGCTTTGTTTTAGAATCGTATGGGTTGATCACCTGACTCTTCCATTCAGGATTCAGATGCTTCAATTCGGAAAAGAGCCCTTGAACTTGTTTATGTTTTGGTCAATGATACTAATGTGAAGCCCTTGGCGAAAGAACTAATAGATTATCTTGAAGTCAGTGATCAGGATTTCAGAGCTGACCTTACTGCGAAAATTTGCTCCATTGTAGCAAAGTGAGTCATAAGATGCTGAATGACATTCTTTTTTCAGTTTCATTTGTTTTTTTTTATCTTTTAACTTGGGCAAGGAGAGAAGAGAAGGAGGCCAACTGTGTGAAATTTATTTCTTCTTTTTTGAGTATCCTATAATTTCTGGATCACTTGTGATATTCCATCATTAAAGGACACTTGATTTGTCTGAGGAACATGCTTTACTGGCATTAGTTCTTTTAGAAGATATAACTGTTTCTCACGTTGGTAGTTGTGAACATGTTTTCTATGTTGGCCTTGCAGTCTTTACATTTTGGAATTTTCTGCTCTTTCTTATTGATCTCTTTTTTGATAAAATAAAGATGAAGCCATTTGATCCATTTTGAATTGGTCCTTATCTTTGTTACCCCTTGTCAATCTAGAACTAATTAGAGATTTTCTTTAAATTTTACACTCACACACACACACACACAGATATATTTAGTTGACTAGCATTTATTTATTAATGTTTCAGGTTTTCCCCAGAGAAGATCTGGTACATTGATCAGATGCTCAAGGTTCTGTCTGAGGTAATAAATATAAGGGACAAACTTTTGTAGTGAATTAAAATTTTAAAGGAAAAAATTCCAAGCATGCTAGCTTTTTAGGCTATCCGTTAGCAGTGATGCGGGTCTACATGTAGATTTAATTCCTCTAGAGTGACAGTGATTCACTGGAGGGAAAAGTGAGACATCTCAACCATAAATGCTAAAATTATGGGAGTTGATTTTAACAAATCCATGATTATACATGTGCATGTAATATCAACCATTCTCATCTATGCTTAAATTTTCTTGCCTTTTCTTCTGAAGTGAACTCTGCCCTCTAGAGGAGCTAAATCTTTGTATGTGAAATATGATAATTCATTTGCTTCCCAATTGGCATGAAACATTGTATGAAATCATTCGCATGCTTAAAATCTGCTCTAACAATAATGTTAACATCTCCCACCTTATTATTGTTGTTTTATGATTTGATGGTGGTTCAGGTATTGATGCTAAAAATCTGCCATGTATATACGGTTTCATGGCATCAATTTGTTTGAGTCAGAATTGTGTTGTATGCCATGTGTTGGTCAGAAAATGTCTGCCAAATAACTTTGATGGTGTATTGAGATTGTTGTCTGGAAGGTGTGCCTTGACACAATAAGGTTGCTACCTTATAATCTGGTGGTCACAAAGTTCTAGCTGTGGAAACAATCTATGTGATCACAGGGGTGTGGCTACATTTTACCTTCTGAGGACCACTGAATGGTGGGAGCTTTATGTGTTGAGCTGTCCTTTTATTGTGGTTGTTGTTTTGGTGCTAGCTGTCTCCACATTGAGCCATTTTAGTTATATACATACATATATATATATATATATATATATATATATATATTTTTTTTTTTTTTTTTTTTTATATTGGGTGCATGTTCTGATCTCTATTCTATGTTAGTAGGCTGGAAATTTTGTAAAAGATGAGGTATGGTATGCCTTAATTGTTGTGATAACCAATGCTTCTGAGCTTCATGGATATACCGTAAGAGCATTGTACAGAGCATTTCAAACGTCAGCTGAACAGGTGCTCACTTTAGTTTTGACAGAATCTAGGCACTTACTTTTCTTTTGATGCTGTGCACATAATATTACCTAATGCTTTTCCTCAGGAGACTCTAGTTCGAGTTACAGTGTGGTGCATTGGGGAGTATGGTGACATGTTAGTCCATAATGTTGGAATGCTTGACATAGAAGATCCAATAACAGTGAGTGCTACTGCTTGAGAAGTTTATTCATCTGTCTAACTGTTGCTTCAGGTTGCATAAATATAATATATCACTTGATTATAAGCAATAATTTAACAAGTTGATAAATGTATTGGTCTGAACCTTCAAATGAAAGATGTTTTAATAATGTCCCTGGTCCTTGTTATACTTAATCATTGTCACTTTCATAGTTTTATAGTTCTCCCTAACTGAAGGGGGGAGTGAGGGTGGGATTTAGTTTACCTGTTTGATTAGTTTATTTAACATGCTCTGTGGCAGAAACTGCTCCTGTGTCCTTGCTAATTCAATGAAATCTGGGCATGATATGGTTGTACTAAAACCATATATGTTAGCATTATATGACTTGCCTTTTTCATTTTAGTTCTTATTGCATAGTTGGATTTTTTTATACAGAGGAATGAGTTTATATTCCGGCCGTGTTTTCTTTTGAGAGTTGCAGCTTTATTTAACTGTGATTGTACTTTTAACAATTGTTGCCTAAATCTGCTCATTTTGGCAGCACATAGGAAAATCTAAAAGAAATCTTTCACTGAATCTACTTTTTTTAAAAGTTATCAGCCTTCAATTTGTCATGCTTGCAGGTGACTGAGTCTGATGCAGTTGACATTGTAGAGATTGCCATTAACCGTCATGCATCAGATCTTACCACAAAAGCGATGGCTTTGGTTGCATTATTAAAACTCTCTTCACGTTTCCCTTCATGTTCAGAGTACGATCTTTTTTTTTTTTTTTAAGTTGTTATTATCTATTACAGCATACCTTAAATTGGAGTTTGCCAAGAATCAATGTACCAAAAAACTTAAGTTGTAGGCGAAACCTTATGGATGGTTTTGTATCTGACAGGCTCTGTCACACTTGAGCCGTTTGGGCTCTAAGTGTAGCACCTTACTTTATGCTGAAATTCAACATTTATTTAAAATAATGGAGTTCGAAAGGATTGAACCCATGGCCAATTGATCATAGAGGCTTTAACACCATATCAAGAACCAACTCCCAAACATTTAAAATATTAGGTGAAGATTCATGAATGGTTATATGTCTAATATTGTTTCTTCTTTTTCTTCCCTTTTTATTTTAGAGGAATTAGGAATATTATATTCTAGTAGAAGTTTACCATACTGTGTTCAGGATAGTTTTAAAATCCTATGCTTGCAATTTGATATGTGAGGAATTGGGGAACTTTTCTTCCACGGTTCTCCTACCTCCTTACTCCCCATGCCAAAGACTCATGCACCAACTGCAAGTCATATACTTTTTATTTTTAACATGGAAATTTTATTCTCTTTTGATATGGATATAGGAGGATCAGAGAAATTATTGTTCAGTTCAAGGGGAGCTTTGTGCTAGAATTGCAGCAGAGAGCTATTGAATTCAATGCGATTATTGCAAAGCATCAAAATATTAGGTAAGGTTAATTAATTTGCTTAGTAGACTATATCAATAGTATGACATTCTACCACACTCTCATGGGAGAATGTCATTGTGCAGGTCTACTCTTGTAGAAAGGATGCCAGTTTTGGATGAAGCAACCTTTATTGGTAGGAGGGCTGGGTCTCTGCCAGGTGCAGCTTCAACTACAACTGTACCATCAGTTAGTCTACCAAATGGTGTTGCCAAACCTGTGGCTCCTCTTGTAGATCTACTCGATCTAAGTTCAGATGATGCTCCTGCACCTAGCTCTTCTGGTGGAGATTTTCTTCAGGACCTTTTGGGTGTTGATCTTGCTCCAGCATCACAACAATCTGGTTAGTATTGTGATCCCTGAAAAGAATATCTTTTGTATTTAGCAATTACCATTTTTATTTATACATCTTTGCTTTTCACCCATCCAACATAATTGGCATTGTTTTATGAGGCCTTCTTTACTTTCCAAACCTCTTGATCCATAATAAAAACCATTATGAAGAACTTCTCTCTTATGGATTTATTGAAAATTTAGTTTATGATCAAACCTAATGACATTGTTTGATCCATCTAAACCATCCTACCTAAAGTGGTGGTAGTCGTTGGTGATTTGGATTTTGTTCAAGAAACATCATTTAACTTTTTATGAATATTGAATAAGTCCATCAAACATATTTGTAGCATGTCTGACTTTTATTTGCTTTTTTAGCAGCTGGCCAAGATTCAAAAAGTGGCAATGATGTTCTTTTGGACCTTTTGTCTATTGGATCACCTTCCCAAACCAGCTCATCTACAGTAGACATCTTATCCTCCAATTCTAGTAACAAAGCACCAGTTTTACCATTGGATGATCTCTCATCTGTTTCACTTTCCTCAAAAGCATCTTCGAATGCTGCTCCTATGATGGATTTATTGGATGGTTTTGCCCCCAGCCCACCTACAGGTTGTTAACTTTGTTTAGTATTTGGGCAATATCATTGCATGATATTTAGTCAAAGTACTGACTTCTCGTCCTTTCTTATCTTGAATAGAAAACAACGGACCAGTTTATCCATCTATAACTGCGTTTGAGAGCAACTCCTTGAGATTGACATTCAATTTCTCAAAACAACCAGGAAACCCACAAACTACAGTTATCGAGGCTACATTTACGAATTTGACCTCTAATACATATACAGATTTTGTTTTCCAGGCAGCTGTTCCCAAGGTATGCCAATCAATATGCTATTGAACTTTCTGCATGAAGTGCTAAGATCTTCATCGTTGTAATTGTATAGATATAATTTTAATTTACTTCTTTTAACATTTTGAGATAATGATAAAGGTAATTTTCTGAAAATGCTTGAGTATCTTTTCCACTCAGCAGATTGATTTATTTATAAAACAAATGATTACATAGAAGAAATAACAACTACTATTTTCAAGAGAAAAATTAAACTGTAGAACTTCCTATGGAACACTGAACAATGATAAACACTTGGAAAGATAAACAGCATAATAAACATTAAATGCTCCTATTTCCAACACTTCCTCAAGCTGGAGAATAGATGTTTTCCATAGCATATTATTCTTTCAAAAACTTCACAATCCTTAACTGAGAATATATGCAAGTTAACTTAGTGAAGGTGCATATAGAGCACAAATCAAACCGTTGTCCAACTTTTCTATGATAAAATGGCTAATCCTTTTCTATGTGTTTTGTTCAATCTTGTTGAACATGATTATGAGCTTATGCTAATTGTTGGCTTGTTGTCACAATAGAGCTTTCATAGAGCCATCATATTTTATCTTTGTTGAAAGTACTACATTGACTAGAGATAAGGTCACTTTACTGTATATAAGTAAGTGTAAACCACATCTTACAAACCAATTTTATAAGGTTAAATTTTGCTTAAAGTTCATTTCTTAACATGATATATAGCCTTGGGTTAGAGTCTATCCTAGCAGAGTTTGTTGTTTGTTGGATCTATTGTTTTACTTGGTATCGGACCACATATTAATGTCTAATTCCATGTTCAAGATGTATATGTCTTGTCGTGAAGTTGTACGGTTGAGTTAGGCTTAAAGTTGACTTTTTAATAATCTTGAAATCTTCTAAAATCATTTCAGCCAAATTAGTTCACAAATACCTTGTGTGTAACTAAGAATACAATTTCAGCAATAGATCAAGCTATAAAAGTTGTTTTTTACTTCTTCCAAGAAAGGTGAAATACCCATTAGCATATCTGCTATCAATGGTTGACCCTACATAGTTAGTGTCAAAATAGGTTTAAAGAATTTGATTTCCATTTCTTTGACATAAAATTCCATTTTTGTGTCACCATAAGGTATTATAAATATGAAATAATAGAGAAGATTAGGAGAAATCTCCCTTATGTGTTTAGCATACACATAGGGTAGTTTATTTATAATGTAAGATAAGGGTTAAACCCTAAATACAGAATGGGCTAAGCCCAATTAACATAAACACACAACTTAACATCTAACACTCCCCCTCAAG